AACTTGGGTGAAGAAAATACCTGAGTGGGTGTCATTAAAAAAAAAAAAAAAAGCAGCTGTTACTGTTGAAGCAATACAGAGAAAAGAGGCTACCTGCTTCTCCTGCATAGAACGCACCCTTACAAACGACGTACCAGACCGAAAAGATGGGTTCTATACATTCATTATCAGGGTGTGTTATGTTCGGAGGAAGCGGTAGCATGGCCCCTGGCTACCGTCGTCTTCTCCCCAGTACAACAACGCACCCTGATTAAGGATGTACCAGACCGGAAATATGGCTTATATACATTCATTATCAGGGTGAATTATGTTTGCGGGAGGACTGAAGCACGGTGCCGGCACTGGGATGACAAGTAGAAATCAAGAAACGATCCAAATTATTCATTTAAAAAAAAAAAATAATAATAATAATAACAATAATAATAATTGTTACGAAAAGCTGCTGTGTATGAAAGAATTCGAGAGAAAAGAATATAGTGTAGGTCACACACAACAAAAACAAAAAACAGGAACAGGGAGTATAACCCTTTGCAGACGACTTAGGGCATACTCACACTGGCACTTTCCTAAATGTATCTGACAAACCTGAATGAATCTGTCCACAATCCCGTCCAGAGTTCAGTAGAAGAAGTCCGTGTGTGAGTATGCCGTTAGACAGAAACACACAGAAAAAGAGAAGGGGCAAGAAAATCCAGAATCTAATTGCCACGGTCACAAACAAAAAAGACCAATAAAAAAAAAAAAGACCGAAAGGCGCCGAGGTAAACGAGTGGGACATTCCTGGATGTATCTGACCGTAGCTACGACCAGGTGCAGGTGCAATTTGTTATCGGTGCAGATATCACACAGCTGATACATGCTGTGAGATAGTTCACTCGAAAATGAGCACAGAACCACAGACACAGATGGAAACCAACTCGGCAGCAAACCCGCTTGCCAGGAATTCACAATACGAAGAGTGTTTGCTGTAATTAAAAAAAAAAAAAAAAAAAAAAAAGAAGCTCACAATAAGAAGAGTGTTTGCTGTAATTAAAAAAAAAAGGAAAAAAAAAACAATAGGAAGAATTAGCATCCTACTCCTCTGCCTGTCCGCCTCCTATGTTCCACGCACCCTACGAATGCGCATTTGCCTCCGAAGACAAAGCTACACGCAAACAGCGCAAATCGTTGGTTCAGCCAATACGCCCTTCACTCCGCCTGCAACTACGTCCAGGTTCAGACAAAAAAAAGGAAATGGATGGACACACAGCAACGACTCTTACAGCATATTCGGAGCGAGACAGTCCTGGATGTATCTGGTCGTGTTCATGGCCAAACTCACACAAGAAAAAGCCCCTTCCAGTGTCATACAGAGCGAGACAGTCCTG